TTTGTTACCTTTATAGATACCCTTTAAAAGATTAGTGACTACATGTTCCACGCCTAGTGTGTCCAGTATTCCCCACAATTCCTCTTGAACTACGCTATCGTACGCTCCCTTGATATCCAAGAATGCTAGCCACAGGGGCCTGTGTTCCTTTTCTGCTATATATTTCGATGCACTGCGTCAGTGAGAACAGATTGTCTTCCGACCTCCTGTGTTTCCGAAACCCATTCTGCAGTTCCCCCAGCACCCCCTCATCCTCTATCCATGCCTGCAGTCTTTCCTTTATAATCTGCATCGCCAGCCTGTAGACCACTGATGTCACTGTTATAGGACGGTAGTTGTTTATGTCAGCTTTGTCCCCCTTTCCTTTATAGATCATGCTCATCCTGCTAAGTTTCCATCCATCGGGAACTTCACCATCGATTATTATTTTGCTCACTGCCTCTCTCAAAGCCTGCTTAGACTTCGGACCTAATGTCTTTATCAGCCTAATTGGAATGCCATCTGGGCCTGTTGATGTACTACTAGGAACCCTTTTCTCAGTCCTTTTCCACCCTCGTTGTGAAAATGGAGCCATTGCACCACTTGATTCGTCCTTGTCTATTGTGGTGCATAAAGTACTTCTTTGTTGAAATTTTTCTGTCACCCTTGTTCTTATATATTCAATAGCTTCGTCCCCTTCTAGCCTGGCACCTTGGGCTGTAGTTATAAAACTCTGCTCTAGGCTCCGGCGGCTGCTGGCAGCGTGTTCAAGCGGGAGCGATAGCAACCACAGTCTCTTTTCGCGTCATTTCGCGGTGAGCAAAGCAACCCTTCGTTGCTGATATAGAATGGTAAGATTTCAACCCCTCCCCCCCCCCCCCAAAAGCGAATACCGGCGCTCGTGTAATCGCCTTGAAGGGGGAGGGGGTCGCCGTTTCGCCGCTGGCTCTATATCAGCAACGAATGGTTGTTTTGCCCGCCGCGAGATGATGCGAAAAGAGACTGTGGTTGCTGTCGCTCCCGCTTGAACACGCTGCCAGCAGCCGCCGGAGCGCGCAGGCCACGCGCTCCCATGTTCCCTTTCATAAAAATTCACACTGTACATGTGCGTATGTATGTGTGTCCTTCTCAAACAGCAAGATGCCTTCAGCGACGCTGATAAAGAACTTCGGAGAGCGCGAAGCCACGAATGCGAAACCTCTCCCTTCTTCTCGGCACAAAAATACCCGGGCTTCCTCACTCTTCCGTCTTCATATCTGCCCGGCAATTCGTACAATTTTTTAGCGCCAATAGCGCTGTTACTTACTAACTAGGGCCGTAAAAATTTTCTAAATTCAGATAGACGTATGGGAAACCATTGTGCTCGATTCGGCGCACGAATCAAATAGGGAACACTCGAATTACCGCACACTTTTCAAATACTCTTCGAATAATCAGCAGTGACTGAAACACTTCAAAGTAACAAAAATGGGAAAAGCAAAGGATCATTTTTTTAATTAGTGCATTGCCGAAATGCTTTCAGTTCAAGCTTTTGCGGGAATATCAAAGCGTAAGTGATCACTGGATGAAAGAACTTTTGATTTAAATTCCTGTGTTAACGAATTGAATGTGTCCTCAATGCACTATTGTTATATATAAATTCATTATTTTCATTTATAAAATGCTATTTTACTCTTGGCACTTCGTGTTACATGGTGACAAAGTACCAACTCGATTGCCGAAGTAACTGCATCTTATACCGTCATACCTCGAAGGCTCTATTTGTTGCTGAATACGAGCTTAACCTAATTACATAATTGCGTCACCTTTTGTCAGTTATATATGAAGGTATTGTTACCTAGTTAAAGTTAATCAATATTTGTTTGAAAAAAAAACAAGCTTTCTGGAACTTTAGACCTGTTTGGTAGTTGCCATGCTACGCATAAACTATTCGAATGGTATTCGTTTCGTATTATATTTGATTCGGTATGATTGCTGTTAACAATTCGTGTTCGATTTGGTTCTAAATTTTGGTATTCGCACACCTCTATTACCAAAATATTGCTTTGAACTCCCACTGACCTAATTAAACGTTTTTGTTTAAAAAGCTAATTTCCTTCCAACCATTGTATGGTTGGCTGGCCACGGACTTCTTATTCCGTTAGACAAGTCAGTACGAGGCCAGCGTATAGTTTCGCTCGATTAAAAGCTTAGACTGATGTTGCGATGAAAGGGAGAGATTGAAGCGCATAATGGCTGCGATATTGGTTTGAACAAGTCAAGATAATCGAGAGGCTTCGCAAGCAAATGTGTGACCACGTTATTTTTGTTTCTGTTAAGAAAGTAGTTTCTATATGGAAAATGTTGTGTGTTCGAGGTGATTCCCTTGAAATAACTCGCACTTCTGTAACATTTCCTTCGTTAGGTCTTGAGGTACATAGTTTCTGGGAAATAAACTGAATGGTTAGTCCAGCACTTATTTTCTTTTTTCGTCTATGTTTCAGTCATAGTTCTTTCATGGTCTCATCGCGCTGACATTCTAATATACGAAATGTCACGTACCAACATGCCTCTGCACATACGTGCATCTGGTTTACTAGTACGTGATTATAATCTGCGGATTAGTGTATCGAATAAACACGCCACGCTGACATTACGGCGCGTTTTAAGAAAGTGGTCGTGAAATAGTAAAAAAATAATAAGAGAGACGCATGCATGACAAGAGCGAATTACAACCGCAGCGTTTTTTTTTTTTCTCCTAAAAGCTAGCACTTCGCTTCAAGACTTTTGGTGCGTGAATCAGGTCTTGTAGCATCAATGTAATTATGAAAAATGAGAGTGTGCATTTTTTTCCGTCTTCCTTTCGTTGCACATAAGTGCACTCGCCTAACAGCCTCACGAAGTGGCGACATTTCAACTAAATAAGATGAACAAGTACAAAACAGTATTGTTTGGTTCATTCATTCCATTATTACTCCACTTTTTTTTTCTCTTTCTTTTTTTCCGGACTTGGTGTCCCTCATCGGTGTGAAAAAAGTGCCGATGATAGACCACGTCAGTACTGATCACGCAATGTAGAGACCCGACTCAGCTCCTGTCTTTTAAAGGAATCGAACGATATTTATATTCTCTCTATCTCTTTGTCACGTTCAGTTGTGATTACACTCATGTCTGTAAGTGACATTGTTATCGCCAACGCAATGCAGCCAACCCAAAAAGTAATAATGAGAAACAAGAAAATAAATGAAAAATGATTCTCTGAGTTATCTTGCCAGGGCTTTTTTTTTTCGCCAGAATGCTAGAAAAAAAAGTGAAACGTCAGAAAACGGAGGAGAAGATAAGAAGGCGGGCGAAAATGTACGGAGCGCTGTAGAAGCAGACGCCACTACAGCGCTGTCAGAGATTGGCGAGAGACGATGCCTATCGGCACGTACTCAGCAGAAAAGCTAATTGAGGCTTGTCTAGACGGTCGCATTGTACGCAGCCAGGTAAACAATGTGGAACGGGAAATTGCGACTAGAATGTGCGCACCAAGCAGCTAGGGATGTAACCCCGTTGCCATTCTCCAGTTGCCTAAGGTGGAGGGCTCGAGAAGGACAAAGAAACAACTGCGATGTATCTGCATGCGATTAATATACCATGATGTCTGCCAAACCAGTAGATGTTTACTTACGAGTGAAAAAAATTTGAGTGCACAATGAAGCTTCCGAGTTTGAACAACGGGTATACGCAAAGTTTTCAGCCACCTTACGACAAGAAAGTTAGCTAACGATATTGGTGCAGCTAAAAAACATAAACAAAATAGGACTTGCTCTCTGGATTTCGTGCCGACCGGTTGTGCCTCCGCGATCTCCGACGACAGTGCAGCTCTGGCCGACTGGTTCGCCCCTACGCTATCTCCTGCCGCCGACAAGAGCTCTCGCTCAGTGGTGCCCCGTCCTCGGACTCCTGCGACCGTGTTCATCTTTTCTATCTTCTCCTTACTTCTGGGTGTCGCTGTCCCTGCGCCACGCTCTCTCCTTCCCCCTCTCTCTATCTCTATACCTTTTAATCCTATCATTTTAATCCCTTCTTACCCCCATCCCTCGGGAGCTACTGTTGAGGTGTCGCACTGTAATGCAGACAGTTACGGGGCTCACTTTTATCTTCTTTTCTATATTTTAAGAATCACATAAAAAATAAACAAAATGGGAAGCTTAAAGCTAAAAAATGCAGGCGACGTACGAGAAAGACTTCAGTGCTTTGAACGCCGGGCGCTTGTGTGGCAATTTGCTTTAAGTGTTTAACACTGAAAAATTTAGTCGATAAAACGCAATGGCTATAGTTTGGTTGGTCGTTTATAGAATGTATATAACATCATGTATAAAGCGCTGTAATTGCACGATTTCACTATTCAGGCACGAGTGATAGTGCGCTGCATAGGTGACATCATGGACCCACGGCATTTGTAGCATCAAACCGTATTGCAATGCGTCCTTTTCTCTTTGAATGTGAATTTGTATCACCGACACATAAGTACTGCTTCGGGCCTTCAAGATTGAAGCCGTGTAGAGCTGGGATAAAAATGGTGCGTTTCAAATGTGTATATAACCAGCTGTAGACATAAAGGTGCGTCTTCCTCTTCTCCCGGAGTACTCTTGTTTTCAGCGGGCTTTTTTTTTTCTCTCGACCGCTTCGCACTCAGCAATATCACTCACTTCCGGGGCAGCTACTTCAACGCGTATTGATACTAAGTAGAAATAACTGTGTGACGAATTTGTGTATACCCGGACTGAAGTAAACCTGTTTCAGCGCCGCCACAACTATCCCTCAGTCCCCACTCCGAACACCTGTTGCTCGGTCACTGTGCAACGCATTCTCACTTAGAGCTTTTGAGGGCAATATTTTTTGCTTCTTTCCGCTGTCAGTGTATCGTATTTTTCAGCAGCAGTTCAGCTTGGCACTTTCTAACGTTCGGGAAGCCCATTACGCTTTTTTCTTTCTTTCCTCTTGTCTCGTGAGAGCTCAGACGAGTGTGTCGTCCTGCACAACGACGGACTGAAAGCAGCCTCACAGTCCACCCGCTGGTGTCCCAGGAACGGGGATGACGCTGCCCGATAAGTGGCGACCTTGGAGGAGACAAAAAGAGAGCTTCGCAAATGGCCCGCACACGTACAGAAGGAGCCGAACCAAGCACCTTTCGAAGAAACGATCCGCTGCCTCTGCTCTGCATTGAGACGTCGTTGCAGAAGAGCAGAGGCCCCGGGGCCCCCTGTGAAAGATCGTTCCGGCGGGCAAACACTCGGCAGCACGCGGTGCTCTGCGGCTTCAGCCAGCCGGAGGGCAGGGGCATCCATTTGGGCCCCCCGCATCCTCCCCCCGTTGCCTCTTCGGGGGCATTCCTCGACGCAGACATCGGTTCCTCCTTTCTCTACGAGGGGCCTGGTTGCATAAAAGGGCCCCGAGTCCGCAGGTAGAAAGAGTGTTCCTTAAACCTGCCCGTGGAACGGACGAACGGTTTTCAGTTCCTTGAATCTCCAAACACAGCCATGAAAGCAGCGGTGAGTACAAATACTTGCTATTGCTTTGTGTTAAGTACAACAGTGACTCAAGGGGACACCACTTACAGTTAAGCAGTTTTAATTTTTTTTTCGACAGCGACCACTTGTCAGCGAACACCTGTTGTTATACACGAACTGAGCGTCACGGTTCGGTATGACTACAACTGCGACCTGCAAGTTCGCTTGTTATACTCATATATATGTTAATTTAATGTTTTCCTGGTTAACAGAGCAATGTCTAAAATAACTGTACAACGTGTTAAGTATCGCTGTCACGTTGTTCACACTACTGTAACCGTTTTTTATAGCTAAATTATTCCACGTCGACTAGACCACCTGTCAGTTTTTTCACACCCATGGTAACCACGCCCCATATATATTTGCGAAGCTATGGCTGTGTGTGTTGTGCTGAGTACCCTGTCATCCCGTTTCCCTGCTCCTCCTTTCGCTTTTCCAGTTCTTCGTCATCCTATCACTGGCGCTCGCCGCAGCAGCCTTTGCAACCGTCGGCCTAGGGCTGAACCTTGGCTATGGTGTCGCCTCTCCGTATGGCGCCTACGGTGGATACAGACCATACGGCTACAGGCCCTACGGCTACGGCGGTTATGGCTACGGCTACAGGCCTTACGGCTATGGTGGAGTTGGTTATGGCTACAGGCCATATGGCGTCGGCTACGGCTACCCTGGCTACGTTGTTGGCTAGTACAAGGTCAATACAACGAGCACACTTTCCCTGGTATGTGTATAATGCGACATTTACTAACGCTATTAGGCGATGAAAGAGAATGCTTCTAACTCCGCGCACAATTTACAGGGGTCACCCGCCATGTTGGTGAAGTGGTTAAGGTGCTCGACCACTGACCCGCAGGTCGCAGAATCGAATACCAGTCGTGGCAACCGCATTTCCTATGGAGAAGAAATTTCATTTCTGGGGCCCTTGTGATTAGACTTAGGAGCACATTAAATAACTTAGGTGGTCAAATTTTTTGAAGCTCTCTACTATGGCATCTCTCATAATCATATTGTGGTTTAGGGACGTTAAACCCCAACAAATATTACTAGTTCGCTGTTGTCACGCGTGGCCTGCGGAAGCTTACAATTCTAAAGAGAAGCTGAAAGACAGGTGATTAGAAAAGAACTACTTTATAGTCTCTGTACTTCTTTGTTTGTATGTTTTTACCATTTACATATTTTAATATTACTGAGAAAAAAAACGCAACGTGAGAAACGTTAGTTTGTGCGTGTCACAAGCACTGCTGTCTGCAGAGATGACTGATCTTCATATTCCTATTTTTATGGACGCCAAGAATGTATTTACATGTAAACAAGTACGTATTCCTAGGGTTACAATTACCGACTTGTTCAAAACAATAATTTATCAGTGACGTTGGCTAATGCCATCTGCAGTTTAAACAATTTTTGCATGGTCGGTTGGCTCGATTTTATCAACTTGATAGCACAGAGATACAGAGAGAGAGAAGGATAAAAAAGGCATATAGATCATTAGACATCTGCAAGAATAATATCCTATACTTATGAGGGCAAGTGGAGTAGGGGCCCAGTAAGCTGATAGCAGAGAACGAAGGTGTATGAAGATAAGATAATGAAACTAAATCAACGAGTGAAAATATTGAAAGAAATGTTGCCCTTTATGCAAACGCAATGAACAACGAATAAATGGAAGAGTAACCAATGTTCATACGCAGCCGCCCTTGTGTTATGAAGCAAAAACTGCTGCTTGGACAAGTTGGTTCATGATTAAGATAAATTTACCAACGCCAAAAGACGAAACACATAAAAAAGCACAGCGCTATGTGAGTGTGTTCTTTCTTCAGTGTTTTGCTTCTTGCGCTGGTTATGAAACGTCATGATTCTGTTATAAAACGTCAGAACAATAATAACTGTTGGGGTTTTAAGTTGCGAAACTCTGGTATAATCATAAAGGACGCTGTAGCGGAGGGCTCCGCAAATTTTTTGCTGTTTGATGTTCTCATAAATCTAAGTACACGGATCTCTAGCATCTCACGATCCATCAAAATGACCGCGGTGGTGATTTGACCCCGCAACCTTCGTTCGGGTCAGCAGTCGAGTGCCATGACCACTGGACAACCACGGCGGGTCAAGAAGCACCAGAAGACGAAGGAAATATTGCTACACATTGCTTTTGTTAATTAGTGCAACTAATACTATAGTCATATGGAAACTTGAAAGCCGCTGCTTCCTGACTGATTTTCGGTACGCATAATAGTCAGACGAATGCACTGAATCAAAGCTTGCATCTTACAACTGTGTGAAAAAGAACAAAAAAAGAAATACTATATTTTCGACCGTGCATGGCTTCGGATAAACCGCGAGCCAATTCAAGCATGCTGCATGCAATGAGCGCCCTATTCGAGGAAATAAGAGCACATTTATTGAAAACTGTTTCGTGCGAAGTGAAAGAACTATGCTGCGCAATCACCCTCCACGTGGATTTTTTAAAATCACTATACTTATAACCTCAATGCAAGTAAACAATAGTTAATAACGTTACTGTTTTTAAACAGCAATATTTGCGAATTTGGTTGTGCATATATATTTTTTTACACTTGCGGACAACTGGTTGGTATTGAATTCTTTTATTTTTCATTTTTAAGGCTTCTGCCATCTGTATATCATTGGTCGTACGAACATTATCACCAAGAGATTGTTGTCATTACGTTATTTTAATGCAAATCATCTCGTGAACAACACCAGCGATACCGCGGTGGGCATAAATATTACACCAGTTCTTACAGACCCATTCGCGCTCCACTTACTCTCAACATGGTATCTCCCGTACAGATTGATTAATTTATTGATTGGTTGATTGATTGATTTATGATTGATTGATTAAGAAGCGATAATTTTTTGGCGTCATTGGGGCATCGTACAGGCTATCATATGCGGATAATTTCATTTGCCAGATTTATTAGTGTAAACCTTCATGAGTAATAAATAAAATGGCGCTGTTGTTCCTGTAGTTGAATGCTTCGAGAATATTGTAGGAAAACAATACTGGCGATATTGTTGAGCTTTTTTTTACGTTTTTCTCTCCCTCATTTTGCATCATGTTTTCTTTCTTTCCCAGACGAACACAACTGCTACGTGGAAAGCTGCACCAGCCCTCCCACTGCAGTGAATAAATTTTATTCGAATCCAAAATACATCTCTTGTTGAAATTTGAAGCGCAAGAAAGAAAAGGCAGCAGCATATTTCGGAACAAAGTGCAGGTATCAGCGCCACGAGATCTTGAATGTTCTCGAAAATAGGGGACATTGGAACACCCCGAACAACCGTGTACCTACAGTCAGGCACCTTTAATCAAAGAGCTTCCTTAGATGGAGAAAGGTCTACCTTTAGCCAAAGATACGTTTTCTTAATGACGAGGCCTGCGTGCTGTTCCAGCACAGGAGACGCAGTTGCACTCCGCGCACGATAGGGTGAGTAAGTGGTGCGTGTGTGTGCGCGCGCGTTTGTATTGTGCACATGTGGCAGATAGAGAAACGCCAAGTGAGGTTAGCGCTGAAGTTAGTGCCCGATGAAGCTGACGTAAGGTAAAATATCCATGAGACCCCCACTATATGCACCGAAACAGAAAATCAGATGAGAACCTCCGCAAAAAAAAAATTAAAGGAAGGAATGACTGCAGAACCTATATACAACATTTGTGTTTGTATTTGCACCAACTTTTACAGCTATGATTTATTATCCTTCTTTTCTTTTCTACGGGTGTAAAATATGTTTAATGCGCCCACTACCACTTTAACTCGTACATGCAGCCTCCTTAATTTGAACTTGTTGAGAAAGGCTGCTCGGTCCAAAATTGATTGTTACTATTGATGTGAATGTTTTCTGTTTTTCTTTTGTTCCCCTTCGCTCCCACTCCTGTAATAACCCTGCAAAGGGTTAACAGTATGTGAAAATAAATAAAAATAAATAAATAAATAAAAATACAATGGTTCAAAAACGACCCAACTACGAGAAGGCAGCGAACCCAGAAATAACTTCAAGTCTTTAGCTTGACGCAGAACTTGTAGCTGTATAGGGTGATGTAAATGTGTAAGGTATAGCCGGGGTGGGATAATGAATATGGGATAGCACAATTTTTAAAGGTTGTGCGTATATGTATACATGCGTACATACGAACACTCACGTAGATATAACTGAGTCGGACCCCCCCCCCCCCCCCACCGCCCCCGCCCCCCTTTTTTTTTGATATAACGTCCTGCCTAGGCCCTTGTTGTGGGTGAACTGCGCTTGGTTGACGATTGCATACGCCCGCACATGGAGGCGGAAATGTTGTAGGCCCGTGTGCTCAGATTTGGGTGCACGTTAAAGAACCTCAGGTGGTCTAAATTTCCGGAGCCCTCCACTACGGCGTCTCTCATAATCATATAGTGGTTTTGGGACGTTAAACCCCACATATCAATCAATCATACGCCCGCACCTATCGCTGCATATGTTCGCGATACGCTTTCGCAAGAGGTACAAAATGATATAGTATAGACGGTTCTTAATTATTACGTTTTTTTTTTGTTCTACGAGCAAGCTGTCAGATGAATACATAAAAACTGTCCTTTCGTGCATCCTCATAAACGTGGGCCGAGACTCTTTGCAGCTTGCGAGCGTCTATGTTCGCACAACAGGCAATGATTCAATCGTTGCTACTTCCCAAGCGTCACTTCGGGTGGATACGACCTATAGGACCAAGACAAAGCAATGCCGCAGATACTACAAAACGAGGAGGAGCTCTTGAAGTATTATACTCGAAGCTCGATATCATGATTCGCTTCAGCCGCCGGTGACCTGGTAATGCAGAGCACCACGGGCTGAAACCCTGAAATAGCTCCTTCTCAGTGCCGTTCTTCTTAATGCTCCTGGGACTTCCAGCCGTTAGCTTTTGCGCCTACGAAGGCGCAAGAGCTGAGCCCATTTACCTCAAAATCGTCGTAACGAGTAAATATACAATGTTTTATTACATGCAATTTTGTATATATGTACGAAAAAAAGAAGACTATGTCACTATATCATCTCTTGAATGGGTGAAAGTCCACAAATTTAAATACGGTATATTTCTCATAAGAACTGTATAACAGGCCTATAGATCAGAGCGAATAGAACGTTTGCCGCGGCGCATAAGTCGAATGGGGGTCTCATTGTGCAAAAACGTTGTTCATCTCATTCTATGTATTTTCTATCATTTGTTCTACTGAACTGCCAATTTTGAACATACCTCGGAAATGATGAAAGGCAAAAACAATAACAACAGGAATGTTGCTATTGAAAGTTTAAAATAATTGTCATGTGACTTAGGACCCGGGTACGGCGTCATTCCTTGGTTCTTTGAGAAGATATGATATTGATTGATTGACATGTAGGGTTTAACGTCCCAAAACCACCATATGATTATGAAAGATGCCGTAGTGGAGGGCTCCGGAACTTTTGACCACCTGGGGTTCTTTAACGTGCACCCAAATCTGAACACACGAGCCAACAACATTTCCGCCTCCATCTGAAATGCAGCCGCCGCAGCCGGGATTCAATCCCGCGACCTGCGGGTCAGCAGCCAAGCACCTCAGCCACTAGACCACCGCGGCGGGGCAGGTTCTTTGCGAAGAGTAAATTTCGTTGGTATTTCACCTTCCAACCCAACAACTATAATCCTGGCGGCTCATTCTATCCATTCCGTGCTTTCCTCAATTGGGGAAGTGGTTTATGCCCTCACATTGGTGAGCTCTGTCCGCTGCTGAAATTCCACCCTGCGCGTTTGTTGTATTGCTCTCTTTCGAGCTTCTTATTGACGGGGTAGGCAAAAAACGCCAGGCCTGCGCGGAAGGCGCAGCAAATACGAAAGCTAGAAGAGCGGCCTTTCAGAGCCTGTTCTTAACACTATTTGAGTAACTGCTACAAGCACACTTGCTGGGTACCCACTACGCCATCAATGATCATAATATTTGTGTAGTAAGCCAGCATTCACTATGCTATCCTTCATCATTGTTTGGCGAAGCGTGGTATCTGCTAAACTATTGCGATAAATTTTGTGGAAATTTTTCATGCAGTGCCCGACAACGATGAGGAATTATGCCTGAAGTGAGTATGTGCCACAGTTAATAGGTGATCAAGAACAAGCTTTTTGATCTTGACTTGACTTGACTTTTTCAGTGAGTTGGAGCATTGGATGACCCACTCGTTGCGCTATTCGCATTGTGTGACGACTGGTTGTTCCTTTGATGTTCTGAAACGCTTTATTAATCATATTAGAGAGATTCCTTTCCCGACATCAAACCAGCCTAAGGCCAGTTTTGAAATGAGTTTCAAGCGCCAGCGTGGCTCAGTGTTAGAATACTGGGCTGGCACCCAGCGGAACAGGGTTGGAATCCTGTAGTGTCCTTTGCTTTTCTTACTGTTTTATTTCTTTTTTTATATTGGTGACAGAAAACTACGTCGCCGCACGTGACCTTTGTTCTGATCTCATAACGGCTTTTGTTGAAAGATGCTCTCCGCGGTGGACCTCCCGAGGTCCTCCAAGCTATGGTACAGCGGGCCTGACTTGTCGCTGAAGTCTTAAGAACCCAGGACAAGGGGTTCTCCCCCACGCCCTTCTTCTCCATGCTTTTATGAATAAAGACATTTTCTCTCTCTCTCGTTCTCACTTTAAAATGACTTCTCTTTTTTTCTGCTATGATATAAATTGCATATATCAGTAATTCAAGCTGCGTCGTCAGTATTTTCGTCATTGCGAGCCAATCGGGAAGTTATCAATATTGACGTCCTCTAGCAGCACCGTGTCAAATCCTGTCACACTATAGGTGACTCCTAAATGGTTTTTGAAGTCTAATTTCGCTTACGCCTTCCTCGATTCCTAATACCCATACTAGCGATTACATGAATGTCCCTCTGCCCCCCTCCAGCACAACAAAACAAATTATGAACGTTCAAATGTTAAAAGGCCACTGATCGTACAGTTTGATGTATACGCTCAGTTGCCCAAACTCCGACATCTCTTACTTTTAGACAATTCACACACACACACACACACACACACACACACGCACACACACGCACGCACACACACGCACACGCACACACACACACACAAAAAAAATTCATAATTGCTGCTGGGTGTCCATTGAGGCGCGTACCAACAGGAGGTTCTATATTTGGGCGGGTAGAAAAATCTATGAAAAGGCACCAGTGGCAAATAAAATTATACTTGGATGGTTAATGCAGAAGTGAGCAGAAAGACTAATTTACACAGTTGAAATTTCGGGCAGTTTACTACACTAACATTACACAATCGTCAAGATAAGAGTACTTAAAATTAGAAAAGAAGATTTGTTCAAAAGAAGACCACAGAGTCGAAATTTTGAAAAAAAGCTAATAATGATGGTACATTGTTGATCATTCTTTAATAGGAGATTGAAAATATTATCACGACCGAGATGGTGTCGAAGAAAGCTGAACGTGTTAGATTACTTCCTTTACTACGCGTTGGTTGTTATCCCTTTCATAAGTTGATAGTCCACCAAAGATGATAGTTTACATGATAGGCTGACCTCTTACTTGTTAAACATTTTATTTTTTATACATTTTACTTCTAACACAATTTTTCAGTTCCCCTTATCTCCACGCGTCCTTAACTTAAAGGTACACTAAAGAGAAACAATGAGTTGTTTTAAATTGAGCACTCTGATATCTCTAATGTCGTAAGTTTTCCTGTAATAGGTTCGATATTAGCGGAGAAAATCGAGCTTGAAATTTCATTTTTAAATTTCGCGTCGTAATCTCCGCGCGTAACGTGAGGACTTCCACCGTGCATTTTTCGTATTTTTGCAACACTGACTGGATGAAATCTTCTGAAACTTCGTATGCTAAGTCTATGGCACCGACAGATTACAATGCACTTCAATCATGTCAAGTAGAAGCTACGTGGGTCCCAGTAGACACCTTCAAAGGTTGATGACGTCACAGTGTTTGGTGCGGGAATCTCAAGGCGACCCGCAGTTTCTTTTAGCGCGTTTTTTCGCTTACCATGAGCCGTGTCGCAGTAAGAATGTGTTGGCGGTTGTTAAATTGTGCTTTACCAATACGCGAAAAAACGTTTTCGTGTATTGTCCCTTTATTCGTGTCCCTTTAATCATCGTGGCAGCCGGCTCTTTCACCGTCCCCCTTAGTGGGTGAGCACCATTAAGATAAGGATCATCATCATCAACAACTGCATCGTGCGATGGCATGTACGGTAGAGCGAAGCTCTTGGTGTATATATATATATATATATATATATATATATATATATATATATATCATTCGTTTTAGACCCACCATTACCTCTGTCTCAAGCATCTGATAGCCTGCACCGATCCCTGCTCAGATATACTCCTTTTTCGATATTTGGCTGTTCTTCCTATATAATTTTTTAGTCCAAAATTACTTTGTGTTTGAAAAACCATAAGCCTTTTACTTAAGATCCTGCCACCCGCTTCTTGGCCGATCCCCCTTGGTGGGTGTGCGCCAGGGTAACAAGGATCATCATCATCATCGGTGCCGGCATGTCGTGTCCCACAGCCCGGAGTTGACGACGACGAGGAAGACGGGCCAGCGTGGGGCGGTCTCCCCGGAGCGCGAAGGCCCTGGGTAGAGCGGGCCGACGCGGCCGCTATCGGCCGCGATGCCGTACTCCAACGAGCAGCTCATCCTCTTCTACTACCCCAACACCATCGGCTCCCGAAAGGCAAGCGTTCCTCGTCTGCCTGTAAGCGGAGTTCCTGCACCGCGCATTGCGCGGCTGCTGTCGGAAATGGTCCCACGTTCAGACACGTTGATTTTTGACATGCTGTCTAGAACTTTTTTTTTTCTTCGATAGCTGGCACGCTTGAGTCGGTGTCAGCTAGTATAGGGACGCCGTTAGCGTGAGGTAAAGCCGAAAGCGTCTTGAACATGCCTATTCACCAACATGCATGATTCTCAGATTCGCAATGACGCCCTTCAGAATAAAAGGTGCTAAAGGGTGATTTAGGGTGACACTGCCGTCGAAGGCGCGAGAGCACATTCGCCTTCGCAAGGGCGTCAGACAAGTCCAGGCTCGCGTGAACATACAGGCGTGGGTTCCTCAAACGCCGGCAAGACGTTCTCGAAGGAGCAATTGGACCCCGCTGATCAAGAGGTAATAACGTCACATCCAGTGCGACGCGCATTATATCGCCTATCGTCCGCCTCCTTGCATCTATTGTTTGGTACGTTGAAGCCGTGGTGGCCTGTTCTGTTCTATACAGCGTTCTGGTGTTAACGCCTCCAGGCGGTAGAGAATAATGTATCAGTTATGGTTAACTGGAGTGTGTTTACAGATAGTACGAGCTATATGAATATGACTGGTGATAGTAGCATTTTTAATTAGCTTAGACAAGATTTTTATTTTGAGATTGAGTACAAAGGTCATTCTGTGTGGCGGAATCTATATTAATAACTTTTAGCACTTCTTATAAATGTGTGCGACATATTCAGAGCAATGCATTTTATTTTCACTGCTTCAACCAATAAGCATTCCCTGTAAATAATATTACCTATGGGGTGATCTGAAGAAGGCACGAGCTAACTCAGTTAAGAAAGGCTTCCTTTCAGCATTTTATAGCGTGGTATGGACCTTCATGACGCTTGCACGTTCCCCGTCCTGCGTAGTCCGGCAAACTTTCCTGCCAGCTTAGTAGAGATTTCTTTCAGAGCACTGCTTGTTTACTAACGCTTGCTTTCGCGAATTAACATTATATCTCCACTTTTTAATTCGCGTTTGCTTTTGTCAAAACGCTTATGATCTACGCCGCCCCCTCTTACAAATCATTTCATAGCAATTTTGTGCAGCAACTCCTTCCTGCGGGCGTTTTATAGACTGTCTTCACCCACAGACGGTGGGTATACGTGCTGTAACCTTGCAGAGTTTCACCGAGTTGGTTGAACCTGACGCAGATGTTGCTGGTGTTGTACACGAGGGGAATCAGCTTCATGCCCCGAGTCATGGATGTTCCGAACGGCGAGCAGATGGAGCCCTGGTTTCTCGATATGAGCCCCTTGGGAGAACTGCCCGTGCTCAAACATGGTGACAGTGTCTTCACCGACGTTCACCAGATGATGGTGTATATCGACCAAGTATTTCCGTCCACAGGTAATCCTATATCTACAAGTGTGCATTCGGAAGAGGCAATATTCCCAGTATCCATCTCGGGAAGCTCTGGTCTTTACCGAAAAGACCAAGGAAGAGTGGGATGATAACCTAGGATTATTTATTTATTTGTTTGTTTGTTTGTTTGTTTGTTTGTTTGTTTGTTTGTTTGTTTGTTTGTTTGTTTGTTTGTTTGTTTGTTTGTTTGTTTGTTTGTTTGTTTGTTTGTTTGTTTGTTTACAGTGCACTGTCAGCCATCCAATAAAATTTGATGAAGGGACGGTCAAAATAATGAAATGTGGTGCAGCAAAGGACTATAAAAACGGTCAATAACAGACAACTATAATAACAGCCAATATGCAAAAATCAAACAGCATATTCGTAGTAAGACACATCTACAACGTGTTCATAATCACATTTTTATAATATGAAGCCCTAATTAACGCACCTTACCAAATGGTGCCACAGTTGTTTAATTTCGCGGCGTATAAAAAACATTTGTATCTTCTCCCTGCGTCCTCGTATAGCTGTATTCTAAATTCAGCCTGGCCAAATACATAGCAGTTCGACACCACAATTCCCTAGACACGTGCTTGCCGGAAGATATCGGCAAGTAACGCAAGAGAATTGAGTAAGTAAACCTGCGCCCGCCGAGCAAAATGCGGAAGGAATGCGTTTTGCAAGGCGTGTACGCGAAAGACGGGGCAATATAGTGTGGCGGACACGATACTACCGAGTATGTACTGCATTCTGTTCGCTCCACCGAGATACGTTGCAGATAGATCGCAGTATTCACAGCGTTTACACGCGTGTTACAGTGAACAGGTCTAAACGTAAGGCCGGCATATTCTGCTTTGTGCTGACAGTTCACTTTGTCATTCACTTCCTTCGTGCCGGTGTCGACAACGACCGAATGTGTCCAGCCAGTAACGTGTTTATTTCTTCCCACTTACAAGATACAATCACTGCATTCGTATATCCCAGCACGAGAAGAAGAGCGGCACTGTTTTTTTTTACTTACTTTTTTCCGTGCTTTCTCTTTTACAATGATAATTTCCCCTAAGGGGTGCGGGATGAGAAATGTCATACTTCAGTTGTTTGGATGGGCGAGGTACAGAAATGAAATACATAATAATTGTATCCGCTCTCCGAGAGAATATTTTTTTAAGAATTAAGGGGTAATCCCCTTTGTAGGTATCCCGAAAGCAGCATCCTTCTTCCGACTATACGCAAGCAAGTTTTTCTCAAATTGCATCCATTCCCAATAAACTTTGATCGTCATGCATGAAACCATATGACAATTATAACTATATGTATATGCGTGCCCACCGTAGTGTCTTAAGGTGTCGCACTAGTAAGCTAGCTGGAAGTCGCGAGTTCAATTCCTTGTCACGGCGGCCGCATTTCAATCAGGGCGAAATGCAAAACTCGTGTTTTTATGTTCAGGTGCACGTTAAGTAACCTCAGTTCACGGCCTCAGGTGGTTAAAATTAATCCGGAGTGCCCCGCTGCTACTGCGTGTTTAGTAATATATCGTGGTTTTGACACGTAAAGCACTGGAAATTAAGTCTATGCGGCACATCATGTGTATTTCATGTCAAATATATCGCGTGCAAACATTTCTCCTCAATATTCCCAAGTCTCGGAATCACTGCAAACTGGGCTCGCCCTTGAGCAACAATATGTGTCTATAGATTTATTTCGGCATGCACCCAGCTAAAACATTATTTATAAAAAGGTTTGAAGTTGAGTTTGTCAGCACGGCTTCATAACAGGAAACAGTGCGGGAAGACGGAACAACAAAGAAGGGCCAGCGTAGTGACTAGTAGGTTGTACATGGTTGACACTCGAGACGCGCTGAATTGCACACGGAAAAAGACACACGGAGGCCCAGGTAGGACACACACGAACGCGAACTAACAACTGTTTATTCGATGGAAACATGACAAATATGTATAGGTTACAGGCGACCGCGATTGCAAGGGTACAGCACTGTGGCATATTTTCGTTACGTTGATGATTTTTTTATTATGTTTTGATGGGTCAAAAAGTGCCAACATAAAACCCGACGATATTGTCGCGATGTTTAAAACGACATGTCGTGGTCTCAATTTCCTTTACGAGTTACCCACAAGTTCTGACATAAAAGTTTTATACATAATGTTTTTGCAAGTTGAGAGACACACTTGCTGGGAATATAATGTTGGAGGTCAAAAAAGTTTGTGGATCTCTAGCTCGGGTCCCTCTAAGCTTGTAAAAAGAGGTGTCGCGTACGCGTGCATGTTAAACAGCTGCCAAACGTCATGTGACCACATGGTAGAGCAATGTTTGATGAAGCAAGTTGACAGACTTATGGACAGCGATTACCGTGATCACTGCCTTGGCTGAGAGGCTCTTAAAGACCTCCAGTAACACGTATAAAACGAACGTGTAGTAAAGCAAAAGTCAAAGGAGATCCATATTGTTATGCCCTAAGTCCATGGCATTTCGCGTGGACTGAAAAAGATTGCAAGTACGGCATACCCATGACCTTTACGGCGCCTCACAAACTAATTTCACAGTGTCACAAAGTAAACGGCGAAAGTCACAAGAAAAACCACACGTTTTCTGTTAGGCATGTAAACAAGTTTGTACTGTGCGAAAAAAAAATGTTGCATATGGTATTCCCTTGCCATGATGAAATCACTACATTATGTGGAAATCGGACAAACTGGTAGGTGTTTTAAATTACGTTCACGCGAGCATGATTACCACTGAAACCCGTGTGCTAAGATTTGGGTGCACGTTAAAGAACACCAGGTTGACGAAATTTTTGAATCCCTCCACTACGGCGTCTCTCATAATAATATGGTGGTTTTAGGACGTTAAACCCCACAAATCAATCAATCTATTACAGCTGAAAGCACATTAGTCCCCATGGTAACTAAGCTACCGATTGCAGAAGGTGCCATTGTAAGCCAGATTTCGAAAACACCATTGTCTTATCGAGATCTAAAGATACGAAGGAAAAAGAAGTGATTGAAGCTTTCACCATGTGCAGGCTTGGCAAAGGCAGGTTTGTTAGTGCGCCATATATAAATTTGTCTGACGATGAATTTTCTTTCTTTTTTACATGGAAATTTTAGATAGTTGACAAGGCCATATTTGATGTTACGCAGATGGTTGCACTCTTGTAGCGGGCAGTTTGCTGTTTTACGCTCTCTTTCTTTTCTTTTCCCTTCCACACTATACATATTTGTCATGTTTCCATCGAATAAACAGTTGTTCGCGCTCGAGCATCCTACCTGTGCCTCCGTGTGTCTTCTTTCATGTGCAATTCAGTGCATCACGATTGTGAACCAGAGACAACAAAGACAGACAGGACTTGGCGCTGGCTAACAACATGGGCACTTATTGAGCAGGTACCACTACACACACTTCTTAGAGTTCAGTGTAGAGGTATACAACGTAGTTTAAAGAGGTTCAAGAGTATAATCTGCATGTACAAATGCTATGGATCCAGTGTGGTCTTCTCTCGTTTGCCGGCAGATCCGGTAGGGAAACTGTTCCCCGACAAAGGGACAGACCTTGGTGATTTGGTGGAAAGCGTAGTCAGGGACCTTGGAAAAATCAACATCCCGTTGATCGTGTACGGCACGCTGTTTCACCCCGAAATGGCCGTCTCTTCGGGCATGACCGACGATGAGCAGAAGAAGAAGGCCGGTGAGTCGCCATGCGCACGCGTGGCGTATGTATGTTATGTAAAACGGTCATCCACGTTTAATCAGCAGCATTCAAGCCCTCGCGGCATCCCTAATCTTTGGAAAAACTTACACGTGGTATAAGATTACATCACTGAATTTAGCTCATTGCTATGAACGCTGAATGAAGTTATGCACTGATTTAAAGACAGTCCTCATCAATCGATGAATAATTAAAAATAGAATAGTTGAGAGGTAAACCAACAATAATGCGCTTAAAGACCTCTACTAAGAGAGGGAACTGCAAGCAGACACGTACAGTATGCATATATGCAATATTTCAACCCTGTTCCCGAAGTATTGATCACACCAAAATTTAGATAGAACATGGCTCGAAATTCAAATCAGAGCCCGCACGCCGTTCTTAGAAGGAGGCACTCGTGATTAGCCCCCGTATTCTATAGAACGTCCCTTCACTCAACGCTTCACCTTCACTTGAGAAAGCCGATGGGAGCGTCGTCTATAGGCGCGGAAAGTCACTGCATATCAGCGATAATCTGCTGCGATTCTTGAGTAGCGCAGCATCATTTCCAACCGAGCAGCGGCGCAGTGCTCAGCTCTGTCAAGTGAAGGGTGAAAGTCGAGTCGAGGAGTGTTTCTGAATACGGGGGTAGGTCATGCGCGGTGTAGTTCACGTCACGCGCATTTGCGTGCACAAATCACCAGTAGAAACTCGGAGAGATGATTTATTCGTTTATTCATTTAAACCACAGAGGGATAAGGAAACGAAGGAAAAGACGGCAAAAAAAAATGTTGACGGAAAATTAGCTAAGAATCATGGCAAAGCACTTCGTCTATGCTCCGGCATATGTGACGGGATATAGTTATCGTGGTTCCACGAAGATCGAGCATACACAAGAGCGTAACCAGGCCCCGCCGCGGTGGCCTAGTGGCTAAGGTACTCGGCTGCTCACCCGCAGGTCGCAGGATCGAATCACGGCTGCGGCGGCTGCATTTCCGATGGAGGCAGAAATGGTGTAGGCCTGTGTGCTCAGATTTCGGTGCGCGTTAAAGAACCCCAGGTGGTCGAAATTTCCGGAACCCTTCACTACGGTATCTCTCATAATCATATGGTTTTTTTGGCGGGGACGTTAATCCCCACATATCAATCAGACCATAGCCAGAATTTGTTTCGGTTGAGGGGGGTCTGATAACCCTTTATGAAGGGCAGCATTTTGGGCAAGTTGGTGATTCATAACTTCAGCATAGCTTAGCAACAACAACAACAACAAAAATAGACACGGACAACAAAGAATACAAACCCAGCGAAGACTTTTTGCTAAATTTATTGTGCCACTGAGTTCGTCTATATAGAGAGTGTTTCGAAAATGTGTCCAATATTCTTTAAAAACTACAGAAAAAAAGTATCTGCGTGCTACTTGCGGTGTTGCCTTCATGTGGCAGAAGGCATCTTCAGATGGTTATAAACATTAATTACGGCAGTGATTATAGAAATTAACACAATTAACTTTTTTAACCAGTGGTAAAGCCGGTCAAGTCGAATGGGCGATGTCAAGCCCTTCCTACGAATACTCCATAGCCAGTTTGAAATTTTGGAAAAGCAGCCACTCGTAATTACCTCGGAGCGATGCAATCTGGCTCATTTAACTGGTGGAACCGAAAACTACGCATTAAATAGCGCATCTATAGTATACCATTCACTTCTACGACACCCTCAATGACGACACTGTTTCCGTCGCATTGGGGGAGAAGAATAAGCGAGCGTCGATTAGCGGCATGGAAGCGAAGTGTCTAAATCACCGTGGTGTAAACTGACGGTTGATAACTGCCAGTGAAACAGTGTTGTCACGTAGGCCGTTGTCGAAGTGAATGGTATTATGATCGGCCTGCCTGGCTTGGCGCCGCTTTGACGCATAAGAGGTTGCGACTGAGACTACCCTGATTTCTTCCGGGTCAGCGCTTCCAGAGGTGCACCAAGAGCGGCGACAACATGAAAGCCGTTCATCTTGGACACGCCTGAACGACTCACGGATTAGGAGGAACTGTTGGCCGTCGATGCGGCTTGCTTTGTTGTCAAGGTGCCCGGGCAGAGGGTCCAGCGTCTGAGAACCGTCTGTGGATGCATTTCTCACGTTCTCGTTGTGCCTTAATGGTGCTGTTTCCACAAGTCGGGATCTGCCTGGCGCCACATACTCAGCACTGCAACGGACGACGGAGTTGATTTCCACGTTGGACTCAACGTCTTCGTGCTGTGCCGTGTCATGCGCAGTGGTTTCTCCCTCACCACGGGACGAAGTGGGAGTGCCTCTTCCATCTTTTCTGGGTCAGGAAGAAGGTGGTGTTTCACCTTCCCCTTTTGGGGGCGGAGGTGAGGATGGCAATTTTCGTTGGACTGTCCTGTCCTCGATCGTTTTTTTTTTCCTACAAGGAACCCTGGGTAGGCCAGGACATAAAACGCGAGCGCTGAGGCGCTCCCGACAAGGATCATGCTTCCATCGAGAGCTTCCATGATGGTGTTCCCATCATGTAACATGCTACCTGTAAATAATGTAAATAAAAGCTACTGTTAACAGCTACGGGCTCCTCTCCTCGACATCTCCCCGAGACTCTGGCTGGCTCCAGTCCTCTGGGCAGACCTTCGGTTACATCAATGGTAGATGCACTGTTTGGTGCGTCGGTTTCGGTTTCTCCAGCTAAATCAGGCTGATTGCATCGCTTCACGGTGATTACCAGTGGGCGCTTTTCCAAAATTTCACAGTGACTATGAACTATTCGTAGGAAGCACTTGAATTCAACCATTTGACTCGACCGGCTATCACCACTGGTTAAAAATTTAATTGTCTTGGAACCTGGCTACGCCATTCGTTCCTTATATGAGCAATATTCACTAACGCCCAAAGAATTCACATGGCGCTTTCTAAACACACTTTCTAAGCTAATTGCAATTAGGTTTCAACTGCACAGTCATACAATCTCCACAGATTGTTGGACTCCATGACTCCGCTAGTTGCATGCTGTTGCGGCAGTACGCACAATTTAGTAGACTCGTGCACTGCAGTTGATGCGCAATCGAATAGTCAAGTGTGCCCGTTTATATTCACGTTTTGTCTTCGAAAAGGCTGGCAGTATGGTAACAGCGAGCGGGTGCGTTGCATGCGCAGCACTGGTTAAACAAGGCAAGGCACAGATACTCGAGCTGATGGAGCGTAACCCGGACTACTTGAACTCGTACCTGGAAAAGCAGCACGCCTACGACGCCTTCTTGAGCCTCGCTCAGTCAGAGAATGCCGTCAACAAGGAGCTTGAGGAAGTCGAGAAAACCATGGACAACATGGAGGCCTTGCTCAACTCCAGGAAGGTCTCCGGCACTACCACGCCTGGTGAGTTGACAGGCCAGCAGTGGGCAGTGGTGCTCCAATACGCGAGTATACTCTTGCATTTCGAACGCCATAACTAGCACTAATATAGCGAATTATCGGCTATAGCAAAATATACGCGAAGTTTGATTGGTCACGCTTACTCTTCCATCCTGGTCGGGCTCCATTTCAGCGAAATTTATTCTTTTCATAACGAAATTCAAAACGCGAGAACTACCGCGATACCGACTGTAACAAAGAAATAGTTTGTTTATGCAAGGCTCAAAAGTCGAATAGTAGAACAAAAACTTGAAAAAAAAATATTGATACACAAATCGCAACTCCTTTTCTCCATTGTATGAAAAATTCGCGAAATTTCGATGGTCCAGCACAAGAAGGAAGCCCATTTGACTAGTTGCGCCATCGTATGAACAGAACGAGAACACTTTGGAAGCTCATGTGAAGATGAGAGTGGCGTCACAGCATTGGTTGGCTACAACGTTTAAAAGAAATGCATGCCAGACGCTTTTAAAGACGTCAGCCAGATTGCCGATTTGTTAGAGCAGATTTTTAATTTTGAACGTTACAGTGAATATCAAATATAGTGAACGTATTTGTAGTTCTGGTGGTACTTATTTCGTTATCACGTGGGTCGACTGTACTACACGATTGCTGATGTCTCAAATTAACGTTCGACAACCATTATTAGGAATGTGACTGTAATAAATCCATAAGTACAACTAATTGCAGGCACAATGGTATAGTTGAGATTAAAAGCATATTCAATGAATTAATGCAATGCATTGGGCAGATATTAAAGTTCAAGCGTGTCCAGTATCTTGTATATACAAAGGTGTTTGCACAGTAAGCTGACCTAGCCAACAGTCCCGGGACAACGTAAGAATGCAGGTGCGGCTCAGCCCTCACGACCGAAGCGTTGCAGCAGTTAGCCTCCGCGACTAAAAAAAAATAGTCGCAATAAAAAGACGGCCAGGCCTGAGCAGAACCCGCAGCACTGTTACAGCGAAAGCAGCATTTCAAAAGCATTTTTTTATTATACATTCTTTAGGTAACTTCTACGAGCAGACTTGCAGTGTACCCACTACGCCATAAATAATATTTTTGTGCAGTAGGGAGACATCTACTAAGCCATTCTTCGGAGACGCGTGGTACCTGCTACACTTGCAAGAAATTTTGTGAATTTTTCCGATGCTTAGGCTGACGACTAACTATACCTAACTCCATTTTAAAGGGTTGGAGCATTCGACGAACCACTCGTTACGCAATTCGCATTGTGCGACACCTGGTTATTCTTTTGCTGTTCGAAAACGCTTTATTACACACATTATAACGCGATTCCTTTATCGAGGACTTGCTCTCTGGATTTTGTGCCAACCGGTTCTGCCCCCGCGATCTCCGACGACAGCGCAGCTCTGGCCCACTGGCTCGCCCTACGCCATCTCCTGACGCCGACAAGAGCTCTCGCTCAGTGGTGCCCCCTCCTGGGAGCGTGTCCATTTTTCCTATCTTCTTTCTTCTGGGTGTCGCTGTCCCTGCGCCATGCTCTCTCCTTCCCCCTTCTATCTCTATACATTTAATCCTATCCTTTTCATCCCTCCTTACCCCCATCCCACGTGAGCTACTGTTGAGGTGTTAATGCAGACAGTTACGGGGCTCACTTTTGTCTTCTTTTCTCTTCTAAGAATCACATAAGAAAAAGACATTAAGCCTGCCTAGGATCAGTTTGCAGTGGCTTCAAGCATCACCGTAGTTCAGTGGTAGAATAATGAGAATAATGACAGTCTGCATGTCCTCCGCGTTTTTCATTCACTTAGTTTATTTCACTCATTTCGCGTGATAGTGGTTACGGGCGGCGGCGGCGGACCACTACGGTGCAACGACTTTTGTTGTGATCTCACAACAGCTGTCGCGTTGCAAAAGTGCGGTGCTTATAAAACTTAAATATACATGCAGGTGTAAATAAGAATTTACACTTTGACGACTAGTTTGTTGAAGCTTTCATGATGGGAATGCTACAGGATATGCCGATTCGAAAGAAATAGTGCCATACTTTCTACAATGCCACACGTCATCTGATATGCTGCATCAGTGACCTCCACTAGTTACTGTTTGTACAGTAACTCTAACATTTATTTAATAAAGCTACCCCTAGTCGAGTTTCCGTGTGCGGCGAGCTGTCAAACGGCAGGGTTTCTATCCGTCTGGTTCATGACGCCTAGATAGCGGGTCCATGGTACCCCTTCTAGTACACTGCATCCATCAATAGCGTACCCAGATTTATTTATTTACTTTAGTTGGGGGGGTCAAGGTTTGAGGTGGTAAGCCACTCAAAAACAAAAATTTTTTTTAAGGGCAGGCAGCGATGAAATGACTTTTTCCTCAAAACCAGCATGTCTTATTTAATTTACCCAGCTATTTACAATGCAAAATATTGAATATTTATTTATTGGGAGGTAATCTTTGTCAAAAATTGCATTAAAAGTGCTAGCCACGCCAGCTGTGATAAGTGACTAATGGGTGGCTTTATTCAGTAAAGCTTTGACATTTGTGTAACTAATGGCTGGAGCTATGCAGTGAACTAGAATAAATATTATGCAGTGAATATCAAGGAAGTAATGCTAAAAAACAAAAAAATGGGGAAAAAGAGCCAATTTAGACGGAACCTGTTGGAGAATTCAACTGTGAACTGAAAAATATTCCATGGATTTCTTTTATTCTAGTTCACTGCACAGATATATATGTTGTAAATGATTGTGCAAAATTTCACTTCAAAGTATTCGCTGAGAAATACGTTATGAAAGTTTGCGTCGCAACATTTGGAGCAAATTGTTATTTTCAGAAAAACGTAAACAAAGATTTTCGAGCTTGTAAAAAGGGTTACAATCTTCGCATGCAGGCCTAAAATGCATTAGATTCATAGCTGGGCCCTTTTGCGGAAGCATTATTGTCTCCTTTTGTTCGGGTGGCTGCTCGTCTTTTCTTCCTGGCCTGTTTTGTCCCATCCGCTGGCTTGCATTTAGCATTCTGCATGCGCAGGTGATCCCTGGCGATGCAAGCTTTCGTCGTGTGGTACCCTGGTTCTATGCCAGCTTGCTTCAGGACATATAGGGTACTTACACTGCCATTACTAAAGTGTGCCACAGCATCATGCAAGGCAAACATTACTGTAGGCAAGCTTACGTAGACCTCTTTGGGTGCCCGCTGCCATATTAGACCATTGAAGCACTCATTAGCATTTTGAGTCTTTCCATGAAGGCACTTCAATAGAAGTTCTTCAGAGCACAGATCACTGTAGACAGTTTTAACTTTGTTGAGCACATCATTTGGAAGTCCTCCTTTGTGTACATATTTCCCTTGGCCGAGTGCTTGGACCCTTTGGTATCCGCACCAGCTTTTCGGTCCAAGTTGACACAGGCCATGTCTCGGCTGCTTGTCGGTAGAGCTGCAATGTAAAAGACTGGCAAGGGTAGCCTTTCTCATTGCAGAAAAGTTGCCCACATTAGCCTTTATGGCGATCCCATAATAGTTTTGCAGGCGGCCAATGAGGGCATCAGTGAGCTTTTCCTTACCACCGAGTCCACGCACTGTCTTCTTTAGTTTTCTGAGGCGGCAGCCAACACGCTTCTGGACATGCCCAATACATTCCAGTTTTTGCACACTGTCCTTTCCATACATGTTTTTGACAGCGGCATAGCTCTTGGAATCACCATCGCCGTAGTACTGCAGGTACTTCAAATCTCTTTTGCCTCTCGACCTTTCAAATATTCGGTATAGACCAACCGTCTCCATACTGCCAGCACTTCCTTCATGATTTGCTTGACAGGAAGTGTGGTTTGCCTTCCATTCCTGGTACGAAGCACTATCTTGCCTCAACTTGCTTTTGGTATTACAAGACTTACACGAACTAGAAAGGGCCTCAACATCAATAACTTTTCCCGTGTCAACACAAATCACAGACACACAACCGTTCAAAGATGAATGGCCACGCTTCTGCCACGTGCCATCACCTGAAACACCACACTCGGCACTCCCCACAACACGACGAACTTCCACAGCAGCATCAGTCATCGACTTCGACGCCACTTCTCCTGCCGCTGCAGAAAGCCGAGATAACAATTTGTCGTAGGCGAAGTGACGTGGAGGAGCAAGCATGTTCATCACTTTGGAAAAAGTTTTCGCACCAGCGTGCCCTTTTCCTAACTGGCGCATCGCGTAAACCAGACGTAAATTGTTCTCATTGACACGACCAACCTTTCTTGACGTATGAAATGGGCGCTTGAACCCACAGTCGGCACACACGACCGCACAAGCCGAGCATATCTCTTGGTGAGAGCATTCCTCGAACTTCAGTGTTGTGTTCATGCATTCGGAACATGCCAGCGATGAAAACACTGAAGAAAGAATACCAATGTCCATTATCCTGTTCCCTTGAAGCGCAGAATTCTCTAGTGGAGCCTGGTACGCCTTGTTTATATCCCCAAGCTTCTTCGTGGTCGCCGAAATACCGGCGTCTGTGTCAGTAGGCAGCCTCGTCGTCGTGTAGCGATTTCCAGCAAACTTGCGCTTCCTCCTCTTCTGTGTTCTGCACTTCCCCATGCTGGTCGTAATATGGTCTATGTGGCCAAAGGATACAGCCCTAGTAGCAATGACACGTGGAACAAATGCAGAACGAAGCCTGACGTAGCCTGGCCAAGGCAAACAACAAAAATTCCGACGAGCATCGTGCGTCCCCCTTGTGGCTGTTGTTAGAGATTAATGAAGACTTTTAAACACAAATTTTTATTTAATGACATCATCTTATATACCAGTCACAGTAAAATGCATATAATATTTTGAATAGCATTATTATAGACGAAACAACACTTGCTTTTGAAAGCGGTTTTTCGACACCGAAACCGCAGTTGGAAATGTGGTTTCGGTTTTGCTATAGGAGCATAGGGTATAGAAAACTTGCTATAATTCGCAAACTAATGACGCTAGGAGGATAATTTTTGTTGCAACATATATGTGAATGTTTGGGCGTGCAAGAAAAACAAGACCCTAAAAATTTATTTCGCGAAAAAAAAATGACTTTTGAAGGTGGCCTACCACCTTAATGGGCTCATAAAGCAATGGAAATTCAGTTGTGGTGAGGAAATTGTGTACGAGGGTGCGACGAACACGGAGCCGTGAAAAGTTTTCGAAACGGTGCACTATAATAGTGGAGTTACACGCGTTCGATTATCAAAACTGCAACGATCACTCATGTCGCTCGTTCATGCGCTTCCTTCCGCTGGTATCCTCTCCCGAGCTGCTTTGCTCTCTTGCCGAGTGCCCCTCCCTATCTCGTGTGACATACGTCGTCGCTGACGCGCTGCTTGAAAACAATGTACTTCCGGTCGCCGCGACTCCAATCGTCGACTCCGCCAGTTGCCGACTCGTGAGGGGGCACACACACGCGGCTAACACGACGAACAACAACAAGCAGCGTGGACAGCTGCTCGCAGACTGACCGGAAGTCGTAGGCTCTTGCTCGACCAATCAGCATATTTGGCTCGGTGCGTCAGAGATATGGCACGGCGCATCACGCGGAATCCCAAAAGGCCCAAGGAGGAGGATTGTTTCTCTGAATTTGTGGCACACCAGCGGCTCATAGCGCTGCCACGTGTACAATCGTTGATCGCGACGGATTCGGCACACGATATGCACATTTACATGAAATGTTTGGAAAAATATCGGAGGTAGTTTACAAGCCCTTTAACCATACTTTACGCATGGTCACGCGTTTGTTATACATATATACACATGCAAAATTGGAAAATTTAGGGGAGTTTGTCCTCGTAAGTGCAATGGGCAGAGCTTACACCTAGTACGAAGGAAAGAAGATGAAGCTGCAGAAACATGCCACGGCTTCTGATTCTGTTGAAGTAATTTGAACAGTTCCCAGAAACAGAAATGACCTTCCTTATCTCGGCCCACATTTGTGAGATACTATGGTGACGTCCCTGATGTAATCTTACTTATGTAATTAGTGTTATGCTGTGTTAAACCAGAGTCTACATAGCACTTGGTTCACTTGTACGTATTCCTAAGATTGTTCATGGTCTTTTTACGACTTATGCACATGAGCTCATAACATACGGTACAAGAACTTCTTGCTTCATATTAATACTGGCAGTCCTTAAAACACAATTTAGACGTTGTCTGCTGCTTACTCACAAGTCCTAACTGGTTATTTTCTTTCCACTAACAGATACAGCACAGATGTGGATGTTTTCTATATATGTGTCAGCAGCTGACATCCATCTCATGGTACTACTACATGCTGTCTACAAGGCAGGCCTGTGGGATCGTTACTTCGAGAAGACACAGAAGAAGCACAAAAACCTGACGAGATACTTCAAGAGAATGAAGCACGATCCGCTCATCAGCAAAGCACTCCCGGGGCTTATTAAGTAGATTATGCATGACAATAACAACAGCAGAGCTAAAGTTGATGTCTTTAATGAGACAAATACACCAAGTTCAGATGAAGACATTGCTGGCATTCATTTCTTTCAGAAAATAAAGGAAAGCAAGCACAAATGTGTAAAAAGGGTGACTGTGTACACTGATGATGGCACAGCACTCAGGCAGTACAGCATAACTGTCTTCTATCATTGTCCACAACAAGCTCTTAAGTCACGATGAGTGCACTGAACATATGCTGGCACAATTACATGTTCACAATACTATGTAAAACAAATATACAAAATAAGTAGGTCGTCAAGGGTTTCAAAAAACTTTCTGGTGCATGCAAAGTTTCTGGTGCATGCATTCAATATGCCAACAAAACAAGGAAGTGGCATCTGTTATAAGTAAAAACATCACAGAAAAAAATGCAAACTATTCAAAAATATATACTCCTGAAGCTTGTAGATAACATAATGAACAGACTTCCTCTAAACAACATGAGCACAAGAACACTTGTCATAGAACAACCCAGACATTGAAACATTGTTGAAAACAACATAGACAAGGCAGTACAAGTATCTAGAATTTATACAAAGTTCGTTAGTTTCATTCAAGAAAGTCAAAACACAGCTGCATGAGCATCATAAAGGTACCAATAATATATAGTAGTTGGGTCCCTGAACAGGTACTACAGCTTACCAAAATACCTTTGTCACGTTAATCTTATTTCATTAATGCAAGTTTAAAGCCCTCCACAACCTTTCCTATTGAAACAGCATTCATAATGCTCACTGAACAACTTTTATCAGTTGACTGCTTGCTCCAGTTACATGTAAAATTGATTTGCCTTCCGCTGACAAAAGAACTAAAATGTCGTAAATTGGCTTGAAACAGCGGTCTGCTGGCATTCACTACTCATTGGTTTCTATAACCAGTTACAACCAAGGAAAAAAATATATGATCCGCCCACAGCAATCTTTCTCCTGCCCTGCGACAATTTGCAAAGATGCCCTATATAATTGAGTTTGCTCCTTTCTGTGACATCAAGCCCACGGCACATTCAAGATAGTCAAATATATTGTGCAGAAATGTGAGCCACTTGTTTTAGGTGAAGGGAAAAAAAGGGGGGGGTTTAAAAACTAGTTTTTCTTTGTTAGAGACATTTTTTAGAACTAAAAAAAGAAAACAAACAGTACAGGGGATGTTATTTGTAGCAATTATGATGTAAATGTGAAGAGGAAAACTTGTGAATGTCTAGGCAAATTTTCAGAAAAATTGTCACATAAGTGTTCATCCAAGTGGTAGAAATGATGTACATATTATATTAACATGTATGCGTAGTATGTATGCCCAGTATGCATACAGCCCCGCCGCGGTGACCTAGTGGCTAAGGTACTCGGCTGCTGACCCGCAGGTCGCAGGATCGAATCCCGGCTGCAGCAGCTGCATTTCCGATGGAGGCGGAAATGTTGTAGGCCCGTGTGCTCAGATTTGGATGCACGTTAAAGAACCCCCGGTGGTCAAAATTTCCGGAGCCCTCCACTACGGCGTCTCTCATAATCATATGATGGTTTTGGGACGTTAAACCCCGCATATCAATCAATCAGTACGCATACAGTTGAGCCCACTTATAACGATACCATTCACAACGATATATCAGATATAACAATGATATGGCACCATCTGCTTTTTCATGTTTTCTATACCAAAATAAGCCACTTATTACGATGCTCCAGTGCCACAATATCGAATATAGCGATTTAATCCAGCTGCAGCGTGTACAGAAAGTGGCTCTCCAGACTGCCGGAATCCACTGCTATGTGCCCCATGGCATCCACACCTTCAGAAAACGAAATGACTCTGCTTCTTACAAGGAAGCACGAGGAGGAAGAGTTTTCCTTCCAGACTTCTAAAGCGATGCCAAGAGAGACCTGCGAGACTCATTGACGAAAAGCTGCCGGAGTTGTGGTCAGTGCTTTACGAAAATGCGTCTCGTCTGGACCACTTATTGATGCGGACGATGTTGCAGAAATGTCACACTGCCTCAGTAATGAGCTGATAGGTGCACATAGTATATGTGTTGAGGACAGTGGTTTGAGTGGTGACTCCAACGACGTGGTTGAGGAGCCTACTCAGATACTCTCATCGCAGAAGGCCGAATGTTCGATAGAGTCCCTCCAAGACTTCGTTTTAAATGCTAATGCATTTCTTAGTCAGGCTATGTCAGGCATCGGACTTGGTTTGAAATGTGAATGCATTTCTTAGTCGGGCTATGTCAAACGTCCGCCGAGATTCGTCCACCGCCATCTCCCATAGCAACAGCTGTAGGCGCTCGTGCTTATCCTCGCCCCTTAGCAACTGGAACATGTGGTGCAAGATAGTGTAGGAGAAGGTAGGTGCAGTGCTTTATTGCTTCTTCTCTCGCAGATAGCTCTCTATCCTCCCTGCGACCCACTCTCCCGTCCGCTCGCGCCTCACTCTCGACTGTTCGCTGGCTGGGCACCTTTCAAGAACAACCGGAAATGTGTGCTTGAGATGCCGCTGTGAAACGCCAATGCCGAGCCGAGAATGCTGGTGCCCCACTCTCTCATCCGCTCGCTCCTCACTCTCGACCATTTGCTGGTTGGGTGCCTCTAAAAGCGATGGCAGAAGTCGGTGATGGTGAATGTCTGACGGGAAGGGTACTCCCTCGTAATGCAAGAAATGCATTCACATTTCCTCACGATTCCCTTCGGGGAGGTGGGAGCATTTTTTTTTATGAGGGACCTCCCACTCAGCTACGTGGAACCCTTTGATGCTTTTGAGAAACATGTGCCCAAGCTTCGCATGTGGCAATCAAAGCAGACTATGGGTTTTCTGCAAACAAGTACATAGTTGCACTACCTTACTTGAATGCAAATAAAAGATTTTGAGCTTTCTTTTGTCTTTTTCTCTCAACCAGCTTACAATTATGATGTATAACGATGGGATTTCGTTGGCACTTGGGTATTGTTATATGTGGACTGCACTGCAGTTTCTACATCAACAAAAAAATGTACTTGTGCTTCAAATGAAAAGCAGCTAGCTCAAGTTTCTTACACAGGTGAAAAGCAGGTGTGCTTCGGTTTTGTGGGTGGAGCTCATCTTCCTTTTTTTAGGAGGTAACCGACTATAGGATTGGCATGGCAGGTATGCCTCTTGCTTTCCACCCATAATGATTGTGGACAAACTGTGCTTCTCACTCCTTCTTTTCATGACTTGCTTCATCTGCAAAAAAAACAAAATTAAATACACTATTAGGAAAATGCAAGGTTAAAGCTCAAATACTCCCACTATTCACAACATTAAAATTTTAACTCATGAAAATCAATTGAATATATTTATAGACATACAACTCCAGTTGTTTGATCAAAACACTGTGAGCCCTGCTACCCAACACCAGATGCAGCACAGCATGTTTGATGCATATGTTTCCAGAGGTTCGAGGGATGATAGCATGTGTTCACCACTTTTTGCACAGCTGTAATAATGTTTTGTTACCGTTAATAATACCAACTAGTCTGTGACTTGAGCATAGGATGCCTGTATTTCCACATGGTGACTGTGTTATACAACTGAGCTACTAGTGCAATTCTAAACACCCAAAAACATACATTTTTTCCCAATGTAATGGGAAAACTAGTATGTGATTTACCTTGTTTAATTCTGCTGATAAAAGGGGGCATCTGAATGATCATGGGATGAAAAGGATTGATATGTGCAGGTTACTAAGGGCAAAGTGAAACTATCCCCCAATTTACTCCTTGTTCATAGAACTATATGAATCTCACTAAAAATTTGCCTGGTGTTTTGCAACGGTCTCTAGTAGGAACGACTGTGTGACACTATTAGGAAGAAATTATAATGTATGGGTTCATAGTTTATCAAAAAGCTACCAAGTATACTGCAGTTGAACCCAGCTACAACGAAACTGACAGGGCGCAAAAAAAGTTTCGCTAAAGCTAAAATTTTATTGTAGTGAAATAAAAAAATATAGCTGATCTATGCTAGCAAAAAAGAACGTTTATTCTGAAAATACAGAAAGTGCCAGCTGCTTCCTATTTTTTCCCAGCAGAATCACAATGCAATTCTCACCCATGCATCACAAGCCCATGGTGAAAAGCATACTGAAACAAGGCCTACAACCGCTTTCGTGAACGAACCAAACAGCTGCATTAACACATTAACACCAGCAGTTGTCCGCCGTCAAAGTGTATCCAACAATGCTGAGATGGAGGCAGGGTATCGTGGAGTGGTGACTTTCACCTTATTTTACGTCATTCTTATCCACCACTCGCAGCTAGCTGATTTTGTTGATAACACAAATGAAGAGCTGCTCTGATTAGTCACCACAATAGGCAAGAGCAAAGGAAATGATACGCATTGGCATTGAAAAACGTATCGTTCCGCACAGCTGCGTGAAAGAAAACCATGAACTGAGCGACTGAGCTTCAGCTTCGGATCGTCTGCGGCTCAAAAGCAAGCCAGTGGCAAAAACAAGGCAGTCTCATTGCCATCACTATCGAGCAATGGCAGCGCCCATGCTTGCTGAGCAGCGGCGGTTTCTGGTGGTGCTAAGGCGTGTTTTAGTCTTTGTCGACGTATTTTCAAGTTCTAAATATGCATAGAAATGTTGAAGACTGTGTTTACTGGATAGAAATAAATATCTGAGCCTAGAATTGCATCGTGAAATTTCTTTGAAGCGGGACGGCAGAAGAAAATGTGTTCGTTGTGGCGACAATATGCACCATATGCACCAAACAACGAAATTTCTTGTAGCAGAAAGTTCGTTGAAGCGGCGTTCATTGTAGCAGACTTCGACTGTACTTCTCGTCCTTTAAAATAATTGAAGCATCCTTGGAAAAAAATGCTTCATTGAGATTCAATTTATATCATCATGGAGTTATCTTAGCAAAAGTAATAGGTAGTTTCTGGTATCATATATCCAAAGACGACCATAGCAAACATTCCTATTCCGTCTGAACAGCTAGTCAAGAATATGAATGCAGCTGAGCAATGTACCCAAGCCTTCTGTGTCCCACGGGACATTGGTAGTAGTAAACTTTGAGTGTCCCGAAATTTGTTTTACACAATGACATACAGAAGCTTTGTAGCAAGCACTAATACTATGTTTCGTGTTGCTGCCTAAGTGGAATGTTTTTTTACTTACACTAAAATGTGACACCAGTTTTGAAGGCAGATTAACTTAGAAACTCCAAGCTTTCACACTTTCTTAATGCTTGTTTACGTTCACCACTAGTACAGTGGCAGCCATTTCTTGCTTGTAAGTGGCACACTTTGTACAGGGGCCGATAATTCTTGCTGCAGCAGCACTCTTTCCCTGCCCTGATCTCAAATGAGATTAGCAGTATTTTTAAATAAATAAATAAATAATGCACTTTTCCCAGACCACAGACTGCCTTAGCAAAAAATGGCAGTTGCAGCAGTAAACTCTGTTTCTTTTCATTCAGTTGATAATGACGACAAAATAGACAGGCTGTACTGGTATCTTTTAGCGGAGTGAATAAATAACCTTGGTAACTACAAAATACAAAATCTCTCACCTCGCAACATATCTCCAAAATAACAAAATGTCTGCCACAGAATGCATTTCTAGCTAAGTTAGCAATATTTTCTCAATGCAGTGACACAAATCAAAGTAAATAAAATATCAACTATAGCAGTAGCACATTTCTAGGTGAATTTTCAGTCCGTACTTGTTAAAATAATCAATGTGCACAAAGCTTCCAGTGAAAGATGGCATTATAAATATTGGCTGCTTTAATACTGCAAATTACAACACACCTCATGAAATTTCAAATGAAAGCTTGTGTAGTGACTGGTGCAGTTCTAAATCAAGCGCTTAATGCAGATCAGCTGCTATGAAACCTGAGGAAGTGTGTTGCACAGGCACCCAGCAATTCCCATTCAATTCCTATTCACCACCGAAGACATCAATGTTTGAGATAAGCACAAACAGTTTTCCTGGCGTGAATGGAAGTTTGTTAGGAAAAGTCACAAACTTGGTGCGGGACATGTGTGCTACTTTTTGCTGCACTTTATCAACTTCCTACTTGTTCCGGCAGTTGAGAAGTGTCTAATGCAGTAAATTCGATCAGATTGTTTCCCCCTTCAGACATTGCAAAGAAGCACAGGAAAACCATTAGTGGGCAAGGTGGTGGTGCTTTTTCTTGCCTGGCGTGGGTGTCAGCCGCATGTTTCTGAAGAGTTTTAGCTATATTAGGCAAAGTACTGTGACTATTTCGTGGTTATTTCAGTTAATAGCACCATTTTATTAGAGCTTGTTAGCTTATATTAACCTGACATTTAGCATGGCTAGCATGTTTTCTGGCCTGTACTGAGCACTTGATTGTGTGCACAATTACACCACATGAGATATACGAATGACAATATGGGCCCTAATGAGCTACACACTTCCAAGGTTTTATGACAGTATATCCTCGCATCAACCACAGCTGTAAAGCTTTGTCAATAATCACTGTCATTTCATCTGGGGCAGTAAGCAAGATTAGTTTTCATCCCATTCTATTGATTATTCTTGCTGAAAAGTAACTTCTGTGTTGATAGGAGCAAGTTTGTGGATTGGGATGAAAAACTAGAAATGAAATGTAGCAACAGTGCTTCCATATAAGAAAAAACTACTTGCCTGCTTCATCATCATCATCAGATGCTTCAAGAACATCACAGCAGCACGTTGTATAACAGATAATGCTCAGGAAGCCCAATGGCAGGCCAAACAGCACAGCGGTTAAAACTGGATTTCCTCGCCACATTCCCTAGCAAATGAAAAATGTACAGAACATTCCAAAGACTGAATATAGTACACAGTTTAGCTAGTCAGGTCATTTTAGATAGCAGTTGAGCAAGTTGGTAAGAATTTACCACTGAAGAGAGTAAAGCATGCAAACAGAGACCAAGACACCACAATAGTATGTTTGTGTCGTCTTGATCTCGTCTCTCTTGCCCTTGTTTGCAATTGTTGCCTTCTTTTTATGTTGTCAGTCACCAGACTGCCCCACCGCAGTGGTCTAGTGGCTAAGGTACTTTGCTGCTGACCCGCAGGTCGCGGAAACGAACCCCGGCTGTGGCGGCTGCCTTTTCGATGGAGGCAAAAATGCTGAAGGCCCGTGTGCTCAGATTTGGGTGCACATTAAAGAACCCCAGGAGGTTGAAATTTCCGTAGCCCTCCACTACAGCGTCTCTCATAATCATGTGGTGGTTTTAGGACATTAAACCCCACATATTAATCAAATCAGTCATCAGTTTCTTCCCACTGACAAAAGACATCTAATTCATGAGTGCATTGCAATGTACTTTAAAATTAGAAGACTGCTAATGATGTGAATAAAAATTAAATTTAAAAAAGACGTGAACCAAAGTGAAAGGCACAAAATTTCAATGACTTCCCGGCTCCCACACGGGAGCCTTATTCACAATGAATGCAAATGGCATAGTATGCCCTTTTTAAGAGTCTATTATCACATGTTACAGACATCGCCCACACACAGATACGAGTGTTCCAACATTTTTGTGGAGTGCTTGCGCAGTAGTCTGACTAGTCGATGATTTCAAAAGCAATCACAGGAACAAGTTTCTTTCAGTGGCAATGATGCACGCGTCCTCCCAGTTGACTTCGTGCCACATGCTCTGCAAGGGTTCTAGAAACAAATTTCTTGTTCATGATGCCATACAATATTCCCTGAACTTTCTTTTGAAATTCCCTGTCCCATCAACATACTGTCAAAGCCCGCTACAACGAAATTGACAGGACAGGCAAAAAATCTTGTTGTCATGGAATTTCATTTTAGTGAAATTTCATCTATAGACCACGAAATTCGGTAATATCTGATGATTACAACTAGTCATTAGGTCTCAGCAAGTGTACGTATTGAACTCTCCCTAATTCAGAGGTATCTGGCTGAACACCAAGTGAACGCATTTTCTCGCAAAGAAGATGCACAAAAAGTACACAGAAAGTTTGGAGCTAAACTCGGGGAGCAAGTTATACGAGAATTTCGGTGCGTAAGTTTGCTTCACGATACGCTTTACTGGTAATGCAAGGAAGGCCACCTTGCAACAATTACGCAAGTGCTTTTTCTTTGCCTTCTACCATGGTTCGCAGTTGGAGGTGCCATTTAAATGCAGAGGCGGGTTATACACGAGAAAATAGGTTACTCAAGATCACTCTTGTAGTGTGCTGAACTAGCAGCGCCACGAACGAGCGTGCCAAAGCTTCACTAAAGGCCAACTGAAAGGTATATCGAAGCTCCGCATTATCATAACCATGAGCGAACAGCAGGAAAACTTTTAACTTTCGTGCCATTTCACGGCTTTATTGCCTATAATCTTCGGCTGTGCTAGCTGCCTAACTTTGGCGCGTATTTGCTATCAATAAACGCAAGAATAGCAGCCGCGGTGTGCTACACAGCGGTTATGGCAAATGGTAGTTCCGTTTTCAATCTGCGCGCGCTGCCCGTGCATGTGCCTTCAGAACTATGTCACATCAACGTGGTTTTGTCGTTTTGTCTGCAGTATTGCAGCAAGCAACATTGGTTTTAATCAATACACATTGGGTGTGCACGTACTTTCGTGGTCACTCATGATCTCATTGACACATCATTTGTGTTCGCAGCAGTTGCGGCAGAATGTAGTTACGCTTGTACTCGGTGTGCGCTGGCCATGCATGCACCTTCCTGACGCCGTGGTTGTCTTTTAACATCACAGGACTTGTGACGAAGAGCGGTAGTTTTTTTTTTTTTTTTAGCCCTGTGTCAAAAACATTGCGGGAGTTGAACAATTGTACCGAGGCCCGCACAAGCATTCAACCCACCGGCAGCATTATGGTGGATGGGCGATCTGTCACCGATCATCTCAATGGTGAAAAATTTACCTGGATGTGCGTGTAGTGGCAGAAAGCGTGTCTCCGAAGCGGCCGCACCGCTCAAGAAGTCACGAGCCAACGAGAAACGGCCGAGTTAGTCGCGGAATTTGGCAGGAAACCTAGGCAACTACCTTTTCCTTATGCGGTAGTACTTGCGAAGATTTCGTTGACGTGGAAGTATTTAGGAAAAGCATTTGTTCTGACAAGACATTTTACACATTCTTTTCTGTGGGCGGCTGACGGAGAATTGAAAAGGTATTCGTTGTGGCAGAAATTTCGTTGCAGCAGACTTCATTATAGCGGGATTCAACGGTATGTGTCTTCACAGTCTGCGCAAGGAATTTAGTAGACTACTCTTGGAGAGTCTTGTTTTTCCTATATATCTTTGACATTTATGAGACTGCCTCTGTGTTTCCAGGTCAAGACGTGTGCCACATGGTTGTCATAACAGCACAGAATCTGAGTAATTGCCTCAGCATCGATGCATGTTTTGTGTGAAAGTATTGCGAGGTTTAGCTGGGCGCAACAGTTGTTGGCTGTGTTTTTGAATGAAGTTAGATACCAGCAAATAATTGATTGATATGTGGGGTTTAACGTCCCAAAACCACCATATGATTATGAGAGACGCCGTAGTGGAGGGCTCCGGAAATTTAGACCACCTGGGGTTCTTTAACGTGCACCCAAATCTGAGCACACGGGCCTCCTTCATTTCCGCCTCCATCAGAAATGCAGCCGCCGCAGCCGGGATTCGAACCCGCGACCTGCGGGTCAGCAGCCGAGTACCTTAGCCACTAGACCACCGCGGCGGGGCAGACACCAGCAAATAGCCAGCTTGTGACTAATGATTTCCACTTTTTTTTTTTCATCTTCTTGCTTGGAGTAAATCCACTGGGGACGTTGCAAAAGTGCCGAGACAACTGACTTTTATGGCAGGAGAGATGAACCGAATCAAAACTTTGAAAACATTGGGTATGTCTGTTCTTTCTGTAAACGTAAGTCGGGTGGCTACAGCCCCATTTCACAAAGACGTTAAAGAACGGAAGGCAGCCATTTGATTCAGACAGCCGTTCATAAGGTGTAATCATATGGGCACAACATTGTGAAAATGACATATAGTAAAACATAATATGAACCGAGCAGGAATGCAGCCCAACTACACACTACTAAATGGTAGTTTGCAGTAACTGTCAAGCACAAATCTGCGTCTCTTGACATGCACTGCTGATACCAATGAGTCAATACTGAGTGATATGCAAAAAACCCACAATAAGGTTCTTTTCTCTCTACCAAGGCACAGAAAAACTTCTGGCTCTTTCAAAGGGCTGTGCAATGGAAATACTAGACACGTTTCGAATAACAGGGAACTCAGCCACAGCAGGTGACATGGCAGTGAATGGACTCATCCACCTTTCCTCGACACTTGTGTGCATGCTATTACGACAGTATTCTGCATAAACATGTACACATCACGTCGAGGAAAGCAGTCACACAGTGTGACCCACACAAGCATGCAGCAGTAAACACTGGCAGGCCGAGTTTTCATTGATACCCATCAAAAAGTTCACAGTAAGTTTACAGCAGCACTACACCACACACATAGTACTGTCAAGCAGATAGTGTGTGTGTGGTCAATCAGCAGGAAACATTTATTGATTGTTGAAATGTGGGGCATAACATCCCAAAACCACCATATGATTATGAGAGACACCGAAACATATATTGAGGCTTGCCAGCAGTAAGTTTACGGGTGCTCTTATCGGTGACTGCCATTTAGTGTTCGTACATTTCCGATACTTATCCATATAGGCATCACTGAACTTGCAACAAAGTCTGAATTATATTAGTTGACTGATCGCTAAACAGCCCGAGACCGAAACAGTTGATCTTCAGCTGCACACAACATCCGACACTAAACATCAGACTACACTCTGTATTGAGAGGCACACTTAATATTTGAGACAAAAAATGATTGTGACATGCTCTAGCAGGAATACTAGAAATTACTACATTTAAAGTAGTCAGCAAAGTAGGTACTACATTACGCTCAATAAGACTGAATAGGGAGGAGACTACATTTTAACAATTAGTAAGTTTAAAAGAGGTACATACAGTAGACTCCCTTTAAACAAAACTCTCTTAAATGAAATTGCTGCTTAAATGGAACAACTTCCACTAATATGTTTAGTTTCCTACTTGGATATTGTACCCCTGTTTATCTCTCAGTAAATAAAGCTCCTCTTATAGGAAACACGTTTTCCTGGTCCCTTTAGGTTTCATTTAAAAAGAGTCTACTGTACTAATCAGGTTTTACTGTGGTACTAAGAGCATACTCACTGCTAGTGCAGTCTTGGCTTCAAAGTATGCACGGTATAGCCGATAAGGAAAGCTGTCTCCACCATACGGCTGTGAAGGCAACAAAGAAAAAGGGAGCAAAAGAACATTAACCCTAACCATGTATATGTGTCAGACATATGCATATGTGCACTGCTGTATTTGTATGCAGCACAGGAAATCACACTGTATATCTGCAAGTCAAGAAGTCTGGACAGGCTTCTACAAGTGGGGCCATAAAATTCACATGCCACCCTGCCACCTTTTATTTTTCGTACTCTGCTGGTAAGGTGGATCACAAATATTCATTTGCTGCTTTGTTCAACTTCATAGTTACTTTTCTACTTTCTAACATGTTATCCCTCTTTCTCACCTACTGTGTGTGTGTGCACGTGCAACTGCATGTGTTGGCTGCATGCTTCCTGTGCTGGCTATTGTACAACTGTAAAACCTTCACGTGTGACAATTGGAACCCTGGTGCTGGGAACGCGGGATTATAAACATACCTTAGCCTCAGAACCAGTGCAGCATGTCATGCAAGACTCTGATGCACCACAACTACATCATGCAGTTTTGTTGTTATCTGCATAGTGAAAGCAGGAGGTAGTCTTCCTCATTCTACATCAGAACTAGGTTTGTTGACACCATATGTTGAATCTATTTCAATAGACATCTGTTAGTTTGACTCGGACTTATTCTATAATTTGGTACACTAGATAAGGACAAAATACCCAAATTTGCACCTACAAATTTATATGGGAACAACCTTTTAATCTTTTAATGTATAAATTCACCTTCTCCACATAATTAGAACTCAGTTGGTCCTCTCCCACATGCCTGTTTCTAATAGTGACCAAAATAATACTGAATAGCTCCCCCCCCCCCCCCCCCATCAATATAACCAGTTTTTTCACCTGTCTTGGCAGGAGCACTCGATGCTAAAGTAGCTCCACCACACCATCCCTCTGAAATAAACTGCTTCAGAATTCCTCAGGCACTGCAATCAAATATGAAACCTAAACTGCGTTTGCAATAACCTATAGCCCTTTCAGTCACGGTGTGTACACATGGAGATGCCAACTTCAATGGCCCATCACGCACCGCGTGTTTCATCAAATGACTTGAAATTTAGTGTTCATATTCATGCAGGGCTCCTGGGTGGACAACTGGGGATCATTAACTTCATTATACTGCATATTGCTGCAGAGGACCATTTTTCCTGGATGCACTACCATGTTCAACGATTGTTCAATGTTACATATTCCAAGACCAATGTGAAAACTATTTTTTTTTCTATGCTCGAAAAAAATACGTACAACCAAAAAAAAACTGTGGATGCATTTCTGGCCTAATAGCGAATTCTGTTTATGCAGATACTGAAGTTGACTGCTGGCAGAATAATTAAGTCATTAGTTACACACTCATTAACATTAATAACCAAACACACTCATTGACTTTAATAACCAAAACTCGACAAAACAATGCTTTTCTTTATTTTCTTACTTGTAATGTAATACTGAGTGCCTTGGAATTATGCCACGCGACATGTTTCTGACAGAGCATCATAATTGGTGACTGAAGGGGATAGTCACAGCCAGCATCGTAAGCAAACTTACAAGTTCAGACATAGCAGCAATAAGTCGAGTTGCATGTTCTAAGCATTCTGAACATTGTACACATTGCAAGACATATTAGCGAAATAGTTAGTATGGTGCAGACAAGCATCCTATTAGCAATTGTTGACAAGTCATCAGATAAAGGAAGGACATCAAATGTACTATCAACCGCATGTAAACGTAGCATCTCTTGCACTTCAGGGTGATACAGTGCGGCATAAAAGTGATGATGACCGCTTTTCAAGAGCCCCTAAGCCACCTCCAATACTTTTTCAAACACTTCCAAGTAAACACGCACATCATGTGCAGAATGCCATCACAATCACCAATGCTACAAAAGACAGAGCTACAAGTGGATGGTGAAGCGTAAGGCCCAACCACCATGTCAAACCAGTGAGCTGTGGTTGAGTTTTTGAGCTTTTCATCTTTCAAAGTACGCAGCATGCCAAATGTGCTGTGCCACCATATTGTCACATATCAATAAACTAGAAACACAAAAAGTCACGACCACAGCATACTGCACTACTTTAATTGATATTGGTGATGATTCGAAAAAGGAACAATTCATGTATCTGTAGATTGGAATGATACATAATTGTACAGGCTGCTAAAAATATGCTTGATAGAACAGTAACTTGGACTAGTAGCCGATTTGGTACTGACATAACTGCAGCGTGAAAATAACGAGGACAGATGAGAGAGACAAGCATGGTTTCAGGCAGCATGTGTGTTCTGTCTCCTCATCTGTGCTCATTATTATCACACTGTGCGAATAGGTCAAACATAATACTACCAGCCATGAGATTTAACATACATGCTCGAATTTAGCAATTATTCAAATGTATTAAGGTTCGCTAAAAACAAGATCATGAAAGAGTTAATGTTCCAATAGAGTAATTATGGTACTATGCAACACAATATTTTTACAGATTTCCTAGGAAAAAAGTGTGTGTTAACAAGGAATTTCACAGGACACAATATAAGGCAGACATACCACAGCAGAGCCATCCATAATGGAATTGAGCAGCTCCAGCACGGCCTGTGGAGAGGGGGGCTGTTCACGTGAGTGGCCCTCAGGCAAGTAGTACTGGTATGTCTCAGGCTGAATCACTAGGAGACTAGGGACTGGCAGGTTCATCATGGCCACAGAGTTCGCAATCTCAGGTGTCCCCACCCAGCCAAACACGAAGTGTCTGTGAAGGCAACACATACAGTTAAACTACAGAATACTCTCAGTAAATAAAGATCTGTTAAACTTAACTACTGCTTAAATGGGACAGTTGCCTCCAGCATGATTGGTTTCATACCATAATTCTGCACCCATATTTATCTCTCACTAAACAAAACTTCTGTGAAATGGGACATAATTTCCTGGTCCCTTCAGGCTCCACTTTATGCGAGTCTAATGTATTATATACAGCCCTGTGTAACAAAGTACATATACCTCACAAAAAGACTTAATGTCACTGAACCTACCTACATAAAAATATACAACACTTGCTTCCCCACAAAAAAGAGGCAAGTATGCCAGTGATGTAAATACATGCAAAGCTCTTGTCCCTCAGTAATTATAAAGACACCCATAAAGCACATTCTTTCTCAAAATTTAAACACAATCCACGTGTCCTGCTATTTCTGCAAGTTCTGAGCAATACTTTCAATGTCGTATCATATTTAGACCCGTAGTCTCAAACCAACCTATCCTAATCCTTCACTTTCCTTACGGTTCTTGTTCCATTAATGCGCACTAAGTCCATGAAAACAGGAAATAGGGGAAAAGTTAACTGTGGGTGCTTTGTAAATATCTCATTCATATTAGCTTATGAACCAAATCAAGGGAATATATGCAAAAAGACAACTGAGCACCAAGATAACGAACTGATAAATAGCGCGATAGCACAAGACAGTGAAAGAGACAAACGAAGCACTGACATACTACAACCAAGGTTTTATTCCATACATGGGGGTATATATAGCACACACAACACGAAAGGAGGAAGAGGATAACAGCGACGTGAAAATGTTTCTAATGAAATATTTTATGCGTCTCAAAAAAAAACTGTTAAGAAGTATTCATACACTTGACAAATACACAACTTCCCTGGGGGGGAGCGCTATCGAAGGTACACTCACGCGCATATCGCTTTTCTTGTCAATGCAAGACACCTCCTAAATCTCCCGTGCTCATTGATCACTGTGTCGAGAAAGTATCTTCCATTGATCAAACATAGCATGACAGCCACATACAGAGCTATGCGCAGCTAAGTGGCTGCAACCAAAACTCCGCATTAGATTTCGGCGCTCTCTGACGCGGTCATTAACACAGCAGCCAGTTTGCCTAATGTAGCAGCTGCCACATGAGAGGGGAATTTCGTATACCATTAGGATAACATTCAACAAACTTGTTTGCGTGTTTCTTATCACACAAGCATGGCCCTTTGTCCTCTCTGTTCACCTTATAGCATATACTAGAGAACTTATTTCTTGCTGAAAAAACAACTCTGATGCCTGCTTTATGTGCTACCATTTTTAAACAATGTGACACCTTCTGCAAATAAGGAATGACCGCTGTTTTTGAAAGTGAGCTCTTTTCTCAAACACTAGTATGTTTAGTTAGCTGTTTCAAATCTTAAAAAGACCTCAAAGGAACGTAGTAAGCTGTCCGGGTAGCTTGCCATGTGCAGTCTGCGCACCTGCGAGTCAAAGCTAGAATAAAATGCATGATTGCATGATAACGTCGACGCCGCCCCTAGACATAATTTTGCAATCACTCGCATAACATGTTTCAAATGAACAGTGCTGTAGAGCAGTAAACTTGATTGATATGTGGTGTTTAACGTCCTAAAAGCACCATATGATTGTGAGAGACGCCGTAGTGGAGGACTACGGAAAGTATGCTCCTACTACAACTCATCACGAGCCAACATTACTCGTTATTTGCATTGGTCAACACTTCGGTTATCTTTTGCGCTACATTTAATTTTTTTTTATACATGGAGCACACCCAAGTAATCGGCATGCTAAGTTTTATGCGACGTGGAAGCACTAGCAACAGCAATGTCTGTACTTACAAATGTTGGCTTGGTAACATTAATTTGTTTGGGCTTTTGCATTTGGTGTATAACTGTGTAAGGATATTCAAAAAGCTATATTACTACAAAACCCAATTCTTATCTTGGCCTTTCAGCGCAATGCTTGGCCGGGCACAATACATATTTTACCGAGATAGTAGACTAAAGAAGAACGATTGATATATGGGGTTTAACGTCCCAAAACCACCATATGATTATGAGAGACGCCATAGTGAAGGGCTCCGGAAATTTCGACCACCTGGGGTTCTTTAACGTGCACCCAAATCTGAGCACACGGGCCTACAACATTTCCGCCTCCATCGGAAATGCAGCCGCCGCAGCCGGGATTTGAACCTGCGACCTGCGGGTCAGCAGCCGAGTACCTTAGCCACTAGACCACCGCGGCGGGGCGCCTCCATTAAATAAAAAAAAAAATGTAGTAGCCGCAGCCGGAATTTGATCACGCAACCTGCTGTCAGCAGCCGAGCACCTTAGCCACTAGACCACAGCAAACTTTACTTGGACCAGAGGACACACTGCCAGCACACGTGGTCGGATAAAAAGATTTCAGGGTCAAGAAACCAGATATCGTTAACAATGGAGAATTTAGTGGTCAGTTGCAGTATGCTCATGAAAGAGGGAAACACGTCAACCATTTGATCAGCACATTGCTGAGCTGCAGAGTGGTTAGACTTGTACAATATCAAGAAGTCATCGACAAATCTAAACACTTTTCTAGAGCTCGTCTGATGCAGACATTCCATGAGGGATCTGTCATATTTGACTAAAGAAATATCACTTAGGACCGGAGCGAGAAGTTGTCTAAGCAAAGAGAAGGTGTCTGTATGTCAAAGAGAAAGTGTTTATGCAGACATCTTCTCTTTGAACAAAAAGTTTGTCATCATGCTCTATAAATGTTGAACAGCATTTCTAAAAAATTCACAGCTTTGCCGCAAAGGCGAAGCAATGAACACGAAAGCAGCAACTTAGAAGGTCACGTGGAGAATGGCAAGCAGATCGAAACATGCCCCGCGTTTCTCACGCACAAATGACGCATGAAACGTACTCACAGGCACAGATTAATGTGAATAAGCACCTCGGTTGTTACTTCGCTGTGCCTAAAAGTGCGCCCTTTTCACAAACGGAGAGTGTGCAATGATTGCAGTGACCTTTGTGCACCCGGTAACAACAACAGAATCGTTCTGATGAAAGCACAAGGCCAGCCAAGACGTAAATCGTCTCCACCGCGAGATAAGGACAAGCGAGTGAACGTCCACCCCCTACTCTCGGAGGGGTGGGAGATGAGAGCGCGCGCCGCCGCGTCGTGACGATGTGCCGGCACTCTTGCTGAAGAAAGTGCGACACTTCTTGTGGCTTCCTGATGAGGCAGTGGTCTTCCACAAGAAGGACCGCATAGGGAACGTTGCAAGTACCTCCCCACAAGGCGCTGCCAAGTGCTCTGTTCCAATGGCGCAGAAGGGGACTTCTGGCTTGTGCGTCTTCGCCGAAAAAAACAGTGAAAGGTTTCAGCCCTTCGCTGCCCATACCGACGATACCAGTTTTTGAAGTCCGGCATCTTCACAAAGTTTGCTGGCAGTTGCCTTGACCTTGTAAGGTTTGACAATAGCTGTTTTTCGCCTCGTTGACCATGTACCAACCGGCCCAAATAAGCACTTTAGGACAAGGATGAGGTTAGTTTGTGAATACAGGCCTTGATGCTTTTCTCATTCACTCTTGCACAGCAGTACAGAATGCTTCAGCTTGATACTAACAAGTAGATGTAAAGGGCTTTCCTTGGCAACTTCAGGCCTTAAAAACTGTCACAAGTAAACACTTATGCACTAATTCTGCCTTTAAGTCCATATTTCCCATACCTGCCAACCTGGCAACAGCGAAATTCGTAAAACCCCCGGCGGGGATGGGGGGTGGTTACTAACTTTTTTTTTCATTTGTACAATGAAACTTCAATTATACATCCCCCGGTTTCGCGACAACCCATATTTTACAACGAATCGGTTAGGTCCCGGCCAAATCCCCATAGAAATAATGTATTAAAAACCTTGATTATACCACGCAGTTTTACGCTGGCCCCGCATCTTATGACGACATTCAGATTTCGTCCAAAAGAAAAAGGAATGCCTTTACTCAATCAAGTGTGGACCAAATAATCACAAGTGCAAAATATAAACTTGCGCTCTCCTAGGTTGATGATTAGAAAAGTAGAGAGCGCGACACATGTCTTCTTAGAATGGAAAATTTATTCTCCTGGAAGTTCATGCGCTTCTACGCATGCCGCAACCGTGTATGCACGTATCTGGGGTAGTTACAAAGTCAAGCTCTATCGACACAAAATAGCTCCAGCTGGCCGAAAAGCTGATATTTTCACGTTTTCGGTCCATGGAAACGTTATGGTCGACATACAGCTGATCTCCTGCCTTTGTCGCACTCGCAGTCACAGCCTTGCGGAGGCATCACGGCACGACGCAGCTGTTTTCACTGTGAAAGATTACTTTCACTTGACGTCGACGTTCATACTAACAGCGGGACATGACTAGTTGTGCTTCACAAGGCCAAAAATTACAACGTGCATAGCTCAGTTGCACAAGAAGGCATTCTCGTGTTTGGTCGCCATTATGTGTTATCGATGACACTGTGTCTGATTCTTCTGACGGGAGGCTATTGGCACACGGTTTCGGTTACGTTTTCACGTGCAGGCAATTTTCCGACTTTATCGGTAGAAAGATGCGCGTTGGATTCAAATCTTTTTAAACTTGAGAATAGAGATTCGCTCGCATCTCTCAACTGAGTTACGCTGTCATTAGCTGTCGCTGGCAAGAATAATTTAATCTAACTATCGAGCAGAGGCACAAGGTCGTGTCGTGGGCTTATTCAGGTAATCTATACCCATTTTTTGGGGCAAGGCTGAGTGTCACTGGATTATTCTTAGTTTTTCGATTAAACGACGCCCGGATTATACGACGGTTTTGTGTGGTCCCCTGAAAGTCGTATAATAGGGGTTCCACTATAGCTGTGATGGATTAGGCTTTAGCAACAAGCATAATCATGTTTTGCCCCCATAAGTCAAATCGACGCGCTGAATTATTTTACCCCATTTTTGGCAC